CCATTCGTATGCCACAAATCATTTTAATCTTTTCTTGCTGACCTTGTAAAATACCCTCTCCATATTGTTTACTTCTGCTGGGGAGTTACCAAAGTGCTCTGGACAGTTTCAGTTGAGATAATTAGCTTTTGCTTGCTGAGAAATCTGCTTTGGTTATTCTTCACTTTGCCTGCTAAACACAGGAGTATATTTCTAGGCCAGAATAAATGTCCCATTCCGTGTAGCAGAAAACTATGTTTCAGGCTTCAGGTTCTCATTTAGAGGCACTGCTCTTAAATCCCATCAAAACACTGTTAATGTACATAGTGCCAGCAAAACCATGTGTGTAGTCACCTAGTCATCTAAGCCAGGCAAAGAATAAACTAACAGAAAAATTATTTGGTGTAGTTTATTGTTTATCTGCAGCAACAGCTCTACTTCATATGATACAAAGGGAAACACAAGGTGAGAACAGACTGTTAAGGGTGAGACTATTTATGAATCACCCCAGAATTTCACATGAGCTGGGACTGCATGTGTCAGAAGAAATGCAGGTGGAATAGCACACAAGGGAATAGCAATATCATCACTTTCACCTGCCACCTTTCTATGTATTTGAGTTTTATGGTTTAAGATTACCACATATTATTAAACTTTTAAGTCACTATAGGTAAAACTTTATAAATCTGGAGTTTATTTTAAAAGAACTGGGAGTCTGAAGTAAGTATAGTGCTTAGTTTAAAAATAATGTAAAAATTAGGTATAGTTCAGATAATACATGGTTTGTTTTAACCATACTATAGAAACTTCAGGAAAAGATATGGCAAGAACGGTCAGTAATCTGTTCTTATTTCATTAGGCAGTTGTTTAAGATGATAAACATTCTCATCCAGATTGCAAAAACAATGTCTTTAAAATAATGTTTTAATTGACTTTCAGTTTAAGTAGCATTACAAGACAATTTGTTACCTGAAAATAACTACAAGGGCCTACTATCAATAACATCCACTGAATCTGTTGTAGCCTCTTCCACAGTGTCAGTGAAGAAGGTGAATTTGGAGTGGTTTTCTTTCTGTTAACATTTTTAATATTTTCCTTGCTTGACTTCACAAAAATATTTTCAGAATCTTTACCAGTATTTCCCAACACAGACTACTGTATTCATATATGCAACAGACGGATGCAAAAGGCTATTCAGATTAGTCTAATTTGAAGAACTTAATGCTTTTGCATCTAAGTGCCATACTTTCAGATCTTACAGAGCTGGCTTCATTAGTTCCATGGATAAATTATTTTCAGGATTATATTACAGGCTTCCAGGATTTCGTGCTCAAAAGATGTACTGTCCAAAACATCCAGGCATTATAGAAATCTTTATTTTAAATATTGAAGGAGTTGATTTGATGATACATTATGCGTTCTATCATTCTTATTTCTTATACTATATTATTTTTCATTTGCAAAGTTGATAGATGACATGGAAACTTCAGGCTTTCAGAATCTACATAACTTGTCTTGTTTCAGTTTTATTTTATAAGAAACAGGTAAAATCCTTCTGTGTGATTGTTTGAATATAGAATTAATTAACTGATTTTTTTTTTTGTTCTGGTGTTTATATTTTCTGAATGTTGAAGCTGGCATTCACAGGATTTCCACGCAGTCAGTACTTAACACTTGGTCAAGTCTTTTGTGCTTGGCTTCCATAAAGCAATGTCAAGCAGTTTTATTCCTATGTCTTTTACTTTTCTTGCCAAGCATGGAACCACCTTGGAAAGTGGAGTGAGAGCTTGCAGTTTGCTTTTACCTGCTGAGGTTATTGCTCTAACTCCTGTCTCGAGGGCAGTTAAAATTGAAGTACACCTTGTTTGTGTAGGGTTCCATTGCAGGGCACAATCTTAAAATGAAACAAGGTATTCTTAAAAAGTTACTGTGGAACGGCAAATTCCCTTTCTACCTCAGAGAAATAGGAAGTGGCAGTAGGAAGCCCATAGCCATTTGCATCAGGCAAAAGAGTGTTGCCAGCAGGTTGAGGGAGGCTGTTATTCCACTCTACACAGCAGGCACAACACTCATTACAGGAACATCCACTTAAACAAAAGAAAATGGTTTGAGGTTTGATAATTTTTATGGTGGAGGTGGTCATACATTGAGACAGGCTGCCCAGAGATGCTGTTAAGAGTCTCCATTCGTAGAAATACTCAAAACCAGATTTAATGTCGAGAGCTACTTGTTGGCCATTCTTAGAGCGTGGGGGGTTGAATTAGATGATCTCTAGAGCTCTCTTCCACTTGCAGTCATTCTGTAATTGTGTACAGTGCAGTATCAGTAGGTGGGTATCTACCTATGTACATAAGTAGTCAAAGCCAGGAATACACTTTTCCTGCTATTAGCACACTTGTTTGCCTGGAGAACTGGGAGGTAGGACCTTCTTTGAGCTGGAATTTGATGATTAGCATTTCCAGTGATAAAGGTGTCTATGGGAGTTATTTTAACTGAACAGTAGGGAGGTTAGAGGCATCAAAGGCTAAATGCTCTTTATGAAGTAACTATTTTTTGTATGATAAAGAATCCCATTTCCCCTCATTTTCAGTATTAAGACCTAGTCCACAGTCATCACTTTGTTGTGTAGATATTTAAAATTTTTACTTCTTTAGATTTATATCATTGGAGAAGACAATCAGGATCTAGTTTAGGAATTTTGGTCTTTTTAAAGTATTGGTATTAAAAAGACCAAAAGTATTTTGTTCTTTTTAAGGTATTGCCCATTTCTAACAATCTGAAAATCTATATAAGTATTTTTTATTTTTTCTCATGAAGTAGTGTCTATGCCAGTGGATTAATAAAATTACTTGCATGTTCAGAGCTTGTATTTATTTAGTTTTTAACAAGTTATATTTTGGGGACATTTTACAGTTTGAGAAGATTTATTGGTCTGTGTTTAATGGCAGTTATTTTGCCTGCTTTGGAGCATGTACCATGGGTGGTTTTAAGTGTGCTGTGCATGTTTGACAAGTTAGAAATTTAGCAATCCCCAACAGTGCTGAGCCACACTGTCTCAGACTTTGTTTTTGTTGGCTGGTATCCAGTACCATGCTATAAGATACATTTACTTAACAGTAGAGAGTGGAGAACCACATGAACGACAAAGTTTAAAAAGGCTGGTGAAAAACATGCAATAAATATTAATAGAAGGCCACCCACCTCTGACCTTCAATGCTTATTAGCTTTGTGTGTTTGAAGTTACTGTAGCATTTTCAGCATTCAGTAACAGTATGTAAGAATGTCTTATTTAAATCAAACAACTTATTAGCAACTCTGTATTGATTATTTTGATTGCTTGTGGCAAGGCTTATGGAATAATAAGAGAATTCTACTTTGTATCTTGTAATAGATTGTTGTTCTTTAGTTATAATAAGGAAACCAGATTCATTTGTACCTGTAAGCACGTGGAAATGTATAATACTGTATGTACATCTATGTCGAAAGAGAATGTTTTGCAGAAAAACCATTGTAAGAAATGGTCAGTTAATTCATGTAAACTCAATTCATTCAATTTTTCTTCTTAAAACAAGAACACAAAGCAGAAAAATAGCTAAGAGGAGTCTTCCATCATCTTGTAGTAAAATGAATCTCTGATTCATGATGGCTGAATGGGCGTTAGAATTTTTTCAATATTTTTAAAACTCTTGTTTCTCATAACATTAAAAAAAATGGGGATCTGAACCAAAGCAAAAATAGTATGGAACATGAAATGGGAAGTGATTCAGGAGTCACGAGAGCTGATAGGTAACCATGCGTTTTCAGATTAAATAGTTCTTATCTCCCAAGTCATAGGGCTGTATTACACTCCTAATTATATTTTAGCTGTGCTGTATTTCTCTTAAGACATTAGTGGTTCCCATTCTGTGAATTTCATGTGCTGTATTATGTTAAAAATTAAAGCATATAGGTAGATAACTGATAGTTGGTTGAATACTGATTTATTAATTCACTTTGGGAAGAATCTATTCCTGACTTTTGAGAAAAGAGAAGTAGTTAGCTTAGGGGAAATATAGGGCTAAAAATGAGCATTTTTTTTGTGAAATACTAACAGAATGATGTATCCTGCTAACTCTGAATACATTTATTGCATGAGAAATACAGACACTATTAAGACCAGTGTTAAGTCTTGGACAATATCACTGTAAAAAATTATTGTCTCTCAAAACCAGACACTTTTCTTCCCCTGATTAGTCAGAGGCACATACAGGTTTTGTGTTTGTGTTGGGATGTGTTGCCCTTCATGCCAGCTTCCTTGGTGTTCCTGAGTCAGAAGATCGACTCTTACAGAGTTCCTGTGCTGGTGTGCTGAATCAGACTGAATACACTAATCACATGGAGATTAAAGTCACATGGAGAACCACACTCTGTGTGTAAAAGAACAATTCTCTTAATGTCTGAAAATTAGTTTCTCTGCTGACCAGAAGTGTGACAGAGCTGTGAGACATTGGCTTCAATTACCCAGTTTTTCTGGGCGTTGTGGGGAAGAAAGAATCAAGAGTGAAAATCAGCTGTGCTTCCATTTCTTTAGTCAGCAAATGAAAGGTCAGCACTGTGTGAGAAGTGAAAAACCTAAATTAAAGAACAGGGTGGAAGGACTAAGAATTAAGAATGAAAATGCAAAAGGCATGAAGGCCTGTATTGCTGTATCTGAAGCACTTTATTGTTCTCCTTGCTGTCATTATTCGAATTCCCCTTTAACTTTCCATTTTAATTATGCTCACTAAGACCCTGGAGCAGTTAGTCTATGGAAAACACTGTCGCACTGCCACCAATTTGTGCTTTCTGCCTACATCCATGTGTTGTCACTCCTTTTATGTTGTTCTCAAGAGGAACTCCTATTCATTCACATATTCGTATATTCATTCATGTTCTTAAGCATGTTCCTGCTACAGTGTGACCTTGATCCACTATTTGACAATAGGAATGTTAATTCTAAGATCTAGATCAATGACCACCTATCAATATGTTGTTTATTACAGAGTGTTGTGCGTAGCCTTTGGCATCCTAAGCTGAACCAGATCATGGTTGGTACAGGAAATGGTTTGGCCAAAGTCTACTATGATCCTGTCAAAAGCCAGAGGTATGTAATCATGATTAATGACTAAGAACATTATTTTTTTCCTTAAATTTAGCATGATTCTGTGGTTCTTTGGTTATACTAATAAATGAGAAAAAACATTTTAGTAGCATTTGTTTTGCAGAGTTTTTTCAGTCTTACTTATTTAGTAAGAGTAGAAAGAAATAAAACACAAGAAACCAGTTTGTTTCTGAAAAACAGCACATTTGCATCTGAGCTTTTCCTAGTGCAGTATGCTTGCTGTCTGTTCCACCTGAACTTACATATGCTTTCAGTTTTCTGTTGCATGAAATCTGCAGTAAAAAGAACAGAACTTTCATCCAGTCTTTTGGAGGTTGCTGATGTGTTATTGAAAGGAAATTTGTTTAATTTAGTCATATTTTTTATGAGACTGTGTTTTGGGGTTGGGTTTGGTGGTTTTGTTTTTTTTTCTCCAGAAGTAAAAATCATTAAACTTGTGTCTGTGATGTAATACTGGAAGAAACCAACTTGAGAGGGTGCAAACCAAGGAAGCATATTTGCATCTTTCTGCTGATCTTCTCCCCTACCTGCACCTATCCTGTGGCTTCTGCCTGTATATCTAATGGAAAGGTGGTAGTGATTCATCAGACATGACTTCTCAGCCTGGAATGAAAAAAAGAGGGACTTACTAGTCTATAAATACTTCTTTTTCAATTAATTTACTATCTGGATTGGCTAGTTAACTTCGGCATGCTTGCTTCCTGTCAGCTGGGGGGAAATGTACACTTCATCAATACTGAATGGTATAATGTTCTGCCCATATATGCACTCATTTTTGTTTCAGTGACATCCAAAAACATACTGTGTCCAGATGCTTACTGTGACACTTGAAGGTGAAGGTAAATTCTGGTTTACAAGATGTTTTATTTTTCTGATCTTTGTCAATTTGGAGGACAAGAGAGTTCACCCTTGTTTGGACCCCTCTTCAGAGGGTAGCCTGCATTTCCTAGGCACAGACCACAAGAGTCCTGGCTCAGTTTTGTGTCCAGTTTGTTTCCTGGTACTTGCTATGAGGAGGAAAACACCACCAGTTTAAATCAGTCTGCACCAGCCAGGCTTATGCAGTTTCTTCTAGCTGCAGTGTTACAGACACTTCTAGTTAGATAAGTGCTGCCTCTGCAGCTTAGGAAGAGTAGTAGGAGCAAATCATTGCTGATGTTGGGAGAGAAGCATTTTCATTGTGCATTCTGCAAGCGGTGTGGACGAATGAAGTGTGAAATGAATCTTCCACCCTTGTTTCCGCATGTCATATAAACTGCTCTGTAACAGAATCAGTAATCTCTGTCCTCCACATGTGCATGGACAGGCAATGATACATACATTTATGAATATTTAAAATGCTGTATAACTTTGTTGAGGCTTTTTTGAATAAAAACCTGTTTCTGTTTGACATAAACAGACCAACTGAACTTCTGTGTCTTTCCTCCTAGGGGAGCAAAATTATGTGTGGTCAAAACAAAACGAAAAGAGAGACCAGCAGAGACTCTTACACAGGATTACATTATAACACGTAAGGGATTTAAGTATATCTTTATAGGAGCCTCCTTAGTTCTTAGGTTTGAAATTATTTGGAGATCATACAGCTTTATATTTTCCCCTCTAAAAAAGTTGCAGCTTTTCATCAAGTGTTGCTCAGTGGTGTGAGATGTTAGTGCTTTGTGCAAATTTTTTTTCTAGCCTTGCACAATCAGAAATGTATATGTATCTTGTAGTCTCTGTAAAGTTATTAATAATGGCTGCTTTTTAGGTTCTGATGGCACCTGAAAGCCTTAAAAAAAAACCTGCCTTTACAAAACCACAAACCAAGAAAACTCCAGTATTTTGGATTTTTCCCAGATCTTCAGTTTTACATAACTGAATCAGTGATTGTAGATGGGTTTAGGAAGTGTTTTCCCATTTGGGAGCATTATCAGTACCAGCGACAAAATCAGAGACATTAGTGATAGGTCTTGGAAAAAATTTCAAGTGATTTTTCAAAATTTAGAATTTACCCAGATTAAGATTTAAACAGCTTAAATACCTCTGTATCCTCAAGGTTGTCATTGTATAAGGCCTTATGTTCATATTAAGAAATAGTTATCGTTGTTACTATAAAGTGTTTAGGGATCTGCCTTTTCCCAAGGGCGAATTTTCCAAAGGGATGAGGGGATCAACTGAGATTTTGCCCCTCACCGTTAACATTCCCCTGATGTAGTGTTTCCTCATGTGAAATGAGAAGAGTCACATAGTTGTGCTTTCCTGCTTCTCTTCATTGTCTTCCAGTTCCATGGTGTTTGGAACCACAGTGTTTTCCAGTAGTTTTGATACTGGAAATAGCTAAAACTGTTTCTGTAGAACAAGATAATTGTTTGGCAGCATAATAAACAAAAGAAAGTCTCAGTAGTCTTCTGAATTCCCATCTCAGGTATTTCCCAGCCACTGCTGTCTCTTGCTTGCCTCACTGCTGCAGATGTCCAGCTCCGATTTTTGGGTAGCAGTGGGTAAAGTAGTAGCTGGCAAAGAACAGGGATATTTCTCTCCCTTGGGTGCTCTTCTCAATCCATCCTTACTTACTACATCCTTGCCTGTATCAGCACATGGTCTACTATCTAAATACTTCGTGTGCATTTTGTTGTTAGTGTTTATAATGTAAAGAGCTTTTGTGATTAAAAAAAAACACCTTTCTGCTTAAAAGTTAATTGAAGTTGTGTATTCAGTAGCATTTATAAATGCCATTCAAAGATTTAGGTCCCAATTATACAAAGCTTCAGAATTTTGTTGTCGAGCTTTAGCTGTTTAAACAGTTTTTTCCACATCATTTTGAAACCTAAATAAGATACTTCCATATAAAGCAATGCACTATAAGGATTTGCTTTGCAAATGTTGAGCTTCGTTGCATACTTTGGAAACTGTTCAGAGATTAGATTTCTGTCGTTTAAGCTTACCAGTACAAATGGAAATAAATTAAGATCTTGGAAGGCCTTTTGAAAAGTGATCCAACCTTTTTTCCTTCTCATTTTTTTTGCCCTCCGCCTCAAACCCTTTCCCCCACCCTTCAGACTTCCAGCTGCACTTTAATTTTAGGATTGCCTGTAATGGCTATTTTTAATGTAGGAATGTTGTTTTTAGGGAAAAGGTGTTACTTTTAAAGCACACGAATATGAAGTTTGGGTTTCCCTTAAACAACTTTGACTCCACAAATAGCAGGGGCTTGGATCTCTTGAGTCAGATGCTGTATGTAAACCAGTCAAGCTTAGTGCTTTTCAGTAAATTGTCCCAGGCATTTTAGACGTCATGAAATCTGCAAAAATAAGGCCTAAACATTTATTTGCAATGAACTACTGCTTTGTCACCCGGTGGCGACTTCCCTCACACTAATAAATTGAGCAGGCTTCCAGAAACAAGCTCAAAAAATCAAACTGATAAGTCCCTAAATGCTTCCTCCTTCTCTTCCTTCTCTTCTTTCTCCTCCTTCTTTCTCCTCCTTCTTTCTCCTCCTTCTTTCTCCTCCTCCTTTCTCCTCCTTTCTCCTCCTTCTCCTCCTTCTCCTCCTTCTCCTCTTTTTTTTTTTCTTTTTTACTCAATATAGGGCTGGTTCTCCTCTTTTTTTTTTTTTTTTTTCTTTTTTACCCAACATAGGGCTGGTGCTTCTAAGTGCAAAATTTGTTGGGCTGAGTTTTGCCTTTGGGTTTTTTGACCCCAGTACAATTGCCTGCATTTTTGGAAACAGCAGCAGTCAGCATATCTGAATGTGAGAGCTAAACCTCACCATAAGAAAACTGCGTACCTGAACATGGTGTTTTTCTGTTGCTGTCAAATTGCCTGAGTGGACCAAAACAATTACTGAGATTAAGGATACTGATGACATTTTTTTGGAAATAGAAGTTTTAAATACTGATAATTTGGCTAAATTGTCTCAGTAATGGGTATTCTTCCAACCCTGCTTAATCTCATAATTTAAGAAAGAACATGATTATGACTTCATATGAAGAACCATTACCATTTAGATCATTGAGAAGATTTACTTCCCTCTTATGTTACAGATCTAAGAATGTATCTAGGGTTTTATACTGCTCTTAGAGTGTTAGAAGACTGGGAAGTTCAGAAAAGAGCAACCAGTTGGTCACAGTGCCAATGCTGGGAACTGAGTTAAGAATAAATTACATATACATAAACTCTGCAAACAGTATTTCATATGAAAGGCTCCTCCCTGAAGGAAGCCTGGAAATGTGACTGATTTCATCTTTGAAAAAAAATCAGCCAAAAGAAGCTCTCAGTATCCATCAATAAATCACTGCTTGGATACAGAAGAACTGTATCCAACTGGGCTGCTGCTTCTGCCACATTTTCCATTGAAAGGAAGAATCCCAGTCTTCGTCTTTGTAATTAAAACCTTATAAAGAAAATTGCTAACTTTCTTTTTCTCCAAATTGTGACCGTTCAGCCCATGCACTTCCGATGTTCCGTGAACCACGACAGCGAAGCACCAGGAAGCAGCTGGAGAAGGATAGGCTGGACCCCGTGAAGTCTCACAAACCTGAGCCTCCAGTAGCAGGACCAGGTAATCTAGGTGTAATCATTTCAGACTGTTGTATGCCAGAGGGACCATCATGTTGAGTCCTACACTTCACTACACTGTATACATTGTTTTTTGATTGGGGTGCTTGCCTGGAATAAATAAATAATCACAATGACTTATTTTGTGTGACATAATCAGTAAAACACTTATGTGAGTGTGGCATTAAATTAGATTCTTCCTACAGTGTTAAATAATGTCTTTGTATCAGGTCACTGTTATAGACGTTTATTTCTTAAATATTTATCTCTAAAATAGTCTTTTTTTTTTAACTGCAGGTCGTGGAGGGCGTGTTGGAACTCATGGTGGTACCTTGTCATCGTATATAGTCAAAAATATTGCACTGGATAAGACAGATGATAGCAACCCTCGAGAGGCTATTTTACGTCACGCAAAGGAAGCGGAGGAGAATCCATACTGGATTTCTCCGGCATATGCTAAGTAAGGATACAATTAAAAATGCAAGCAATATTTCTGGAGGCCAGTGGGAGTTTGGTAAAAATAGAAGACACACGTTTTTAATGGTATACTTTGCCTTTTTTGGATTGCTGCCATGATTATGTCAACTAAGAATATGCCATACTCTTTTTATGACAATAAGAGTTTGAAGAGCAGGTTAAATTGTTGAAATTTGACATTTCCATTTTTAGAATATACCTATCAATGCTAGAAAATTATTTTAAAGCTTTCTGAGCTGTTCAGAATTTAGAATCATCTCAGTGTCTGTAGTTGCAATATAACTTTTAGTCAAGTACTGTCCTTTTGACAGACTGGGATGGTAAGTTTTCTAATATGCCCTTTAGTTCTGGCCAATCCTTAGGTTAAAACTTAAAAATGTTTACTTAATGTTATGACAGTATATTTTAGGTGATTTCTCAAATGTCATAAGTTTGTGAGGTTCTCCCTGCATATGGACCAGAGTACGTGTTTAAACGAAGTTGTTGTTAAAGGTATAGTAGTATTAAAAGTTGCACTGATAAAATTTCCTATCAGGACTTCAACTTAAGTGTTCAGTAGCTGTTACATAAATTAAAGAGCCTTATTGAGATTATGGTAATCTGGTTGGATATTGGTAATCCAACAGCTGGTAACGTAGTTTAAATGTATGTGCGAGTGTGGCATTTGCATTTGCATGTATGTGTGGATTTGCATGTATGTAGAAAGCAATTTGCAGATTGCTTTCTACGAAAGACTTCTTTTCTCCTAGAAATAAATACAATTCAAACCATTAAATATATTAATTCATCATAGCACTAAAATGAATAATAAATGAACTTCATACTAATGAACAGAGACTAGCACTTCAGAAATTACCAAAAAAATCATATTTTGCTATTGTTGTTTTTATCACACAAAATCTATGTAGTATAAGTAGTATTTTCAAAATGCATAAGGGAAAGGTTGTGAGGACCTGACATAGCCCGCACAGAACAGTCTGCCAATAACAAACTATTTTTTAATGTTTGCAGCCCAATGTTTTATCTGCTGGCTGTACATTCATTAGTAGTTTACTGCCTGTACTTTCTTCATTAGTATTTAGCTCTTTAGTGAAACAATCATTACCTCTTCAAAAACTTAATCATAGAATCATAGCTGTTTCTAGTGATGAAGCTTGTTTTCTGACCTGACCCACCTGTTCACAAAGTTAACCGAATAGCTGTTCCAAAGCAGCTTGAGAATGTCAGTGACTCATCCTGGCTTTGACTGGGTAATTAATAAGTGTGGCATACTGGTAATTAATAAGTATGCATTTGATGATGTACATCAAATCAGTGCATTATACAGAACCACGTTTTGTATCAAAGAAGAAATATTTGAAAGCCTGATTCTGTAACAGTTGTTGTAATGAATATGCTAAATATTGATCATTAATTATTTGATAGTGCATGTGTGATAGAGATAAAATTTACTTTGAATGTGTTGGTACCTTGTTTTGTTTGAGATGGGCAGCTATCCATCTTTAAAAGTAAATACAGTCACACATTCCATCAGGTAGATAGGTAACTCAGTACATTTTTGGCTTCGTAACTTCATTGATTGTGTGTCAAGTTTCATACCCGACACCTGCAATGTAGTAGACATGAAAGTTTTAAAACATAGCTCTATTACAGAAGGTTTATGGTGTTAGGTGGGCAGATCTCATTACAGTGTCTAGCTAAAGATGTAGCTGCAGGGGAAGAAGATAGCTGCCTGAGAAGTGGGAGGATCCAGGTCCAGGCTGCTATTAACTTACACACCAGACGGTGATACATATGTGGGGGGACTGGACTACAGCCAACAGCATGTTGCCTTGATGGTTTTGTAAGCTGATAAATCTCATGCCAGTGAAACTGCTATTATCCTTGCTTTACAAGCTTGATTTTAAGATGTAGTCTATGCAAAGAGCATTTTAAAATTATTATTCTTAGTATTGTTATTATTTAAGACACTGAATGCAAAAACTTCATTACTGTGGTATGTTTTTAATTTTCAGAAATATTTATTAATATTCAGTCTATAAATAGTTGTAGACCAATGGTAGTCATAGGTTTTAATAGCTACTTGCCCGCACACACAGCTGTGTTAATTATATCCTGTATCTGACTTTACCTGCCATGTATGTTTACCCTGTGTCTAAAGCATCTTGCAGATATTATGGATGCACATTTAATAAAATATGCAAATTACAAGTAATTGTTATAAATTATTGTTAATACTGAATTGTCAGAGTGTCCCTGATGGCCCTTTTAAAACCAGTAGTTCATAATAATGAGCAGTATACAAACTTAGGGAAGCTAGTTGCTTAGCTAAAGCATAAGATACACTGTAAAGTTAGGAAAGTTGATATTCGGATACACATTTAAATTGCATTCTGTCTTGAGACCTAGAAATCATACATCTAAGTTATTTTAATACTGTTCATTCTTTTCAGTACTTTGTTTCTCTGCTCTCATTTTTTCCACATTTCTTGTAGTAAATTTCCACTTAATGTACTATCCACTTGATGTATCTCTTGTTTGACAAGGCTTTTGGTTTTGTATTGCTTAATGCATGGTTATTCACCTACAGTTTTTCATTCTCCTTTTCAAGAAAATGTCTAAGAAAGCTGTAGGTAATTTTCTTCAGTGACGGTTATTACATAATTTTAAGTCTTCTTTGAGAAGACTAAGAAATGCTTTTTTTTTTTCAGTTGATCAGAGTTTTTGTAACTCTGTGATGACTGTGTTAGATTTTGGTCCCGATTCATACTGATTAGCTGTCTTTAACACTTTTTTTAATTGTATTTTCAGTTCAGTAATTCTTGTAAATAAATACCTGCAAGGGGGCTTTCAGTGTTAGTTTATACATTGTATGTAAAAATATTTCCTTGTTGGAGTTGAAGGTGCGTAATTTATTCTTGAAGCCAAATAGTCATTTTTGTTATCACTTGAAAATTTTTCAAGCTTGTTATTAGCCTGGCCTTTCTATTTCTTCTAAAATTTAAGCCAGAAAAGGAGGGGGAAGTACATAAAAGGCAAAAGGATGGTTAAAAAACAGATGCGGCTGAAAAGGATACTGAGGATTATAAGACGTGCATGCTGAATTAGGAGATGACATGTCACAGAAGTGCAGTGTGAATGAAGTTGTGAAAAAGATGTGACCAACACAGCAGAAAAGTCATAATGGGTGAGGATAAAGAAAAGATCTTGAGATTTTTCAGGAGAAGCTTTTTAGAGACCTTGGCAAGTGTCTCTAATGAATTTCAAATTCCAGTGGAGTGAAAGGAAAGGCAGGACAGATTGAAGATTTCAAGTAAAGAACTACAGGAAAAGAACTAGAGGCATCATTTGTAAATGTTTGAAAATTACATTCTTTGTGAGCTGTTTGTTTTAACACAGCTGTACAGATATACTATGACTTCAGATGTCCCTCTGAAGGAATTGCTAAGCGTTGTAGCTGAGGGCCTAATCAGGCCCAGATGTAGCTCTCTTCTGTACCATAGGGAAAATGAGGGTGAAGTTTTCCTTCCCACTAAGATAGACCAGAGTTCTTAGAAAATACCTTACTCTTCAGTGATGTTGTCCTTAATTTACTGTCTTATCACTGCTGCCTATCATGGGCAAAAGGGAATGAATGAAAGCAACAGCCTGTAGCTGTGCTGTGTTCACTGAACTTTTTCTCAATGGCAGTAGCAGTGTGTGAAGTGGTAGTCATGCACTGGCTCAAGTACCTTTAGTTGAAGAAGCAGGACTGAAGAGAATTTTTTGTAACAATGATTTTGTTGGCACATATTGGTATATTTAAGGTAAATCTGTTTTAAAAATTAGTAATTTTGAGACAAAGAGAACAGGCTAGTTGGTAGGGTAAGGAATATAAAGGGGTCTCATGCTGAAAATCTTCATTTTTGAGTCTGGAAGCAGCCTTTATGACATTATTGTGGTTTCTGAGCATGCTTGAAAGTCATGTTTTTTTCTTTATTCCAGTATAATATAAACACAAATTTCAAAAGTTATTGCAGCATGAGTCACATGCTGTGACATGCAGTTGTCTTCTCCAGCTGGTTTAGCTGTAGCAGTATTTTTTTTAGCTGCTAGTCTGTGAACCTCAGATGTCAATAAGCTACTTCTATTGGATCCCTGAAAAGTAACTAAGAAAAACAGCCCATAACCAGAGGGATTATGGTGACTCAAAAGCAGTCTGCATGGCCCCTGGAAATTTTCTAAAGGTCTGCATATCTGTATTTGTTGAGAAATGCCAAAATGAAGAGAAGCACTCAGTATGAGGAAATCATGTTAGGTTTTTTTTCCTAGTTTTGTTTGCAGCCTGTTAGTGTGACCCACAATGTGAGTGCATTTGTCAGTGCATTGAGATTGTTCAGGGACTTGCCTGGTCAAGTCTGAATATCCTCAGTGATGGAGATTTCACACCTCTCTGGGCAGCCTGTTCAGCAGCCAGCTTGGCATGCATAGTATGCTCTTGCTAAATCTATGCTGTCTGTTTCCTATCACCTTCTTGTCCTGCCTGTGATTGGAAATGCATTCGATGGGGATTGTTCCCATAGCCTTCCCAGTGACTTAGGTAGAATATCCTGTAGTTCCCCAAATCTTCTTTTGCCCTTCATAAAGACTGTGATATTTGCCTTTTCTAATCATTGAGAACCTCCCCCAGTCACCATGACTTTTCAAAGATGATAGAGTGCTCTTGCAATGACATTGAGTCACATGGCATTGAGGTACCAGCTGCCTTGGTACCTTTGGATCAATCTCATCTGATCTCATGGATTTGTGTATGTCTAATTAGCAACATACTCCCTGTCTCCATCTTCCTCTTCTGTTGATAATGTCTCACTCCCTCCCAAAGACTGCTGGTAGTATCAGGGTCCTCTGAGACATGAGGACTGACTTTATCAGGGAAAACTGAGCCAGAGAAAGCATAAAATATCTTGATCTTTTCCATATTCTACATCAGCAGGTTTCCTGCCCCATTGAGCACATTTTACTTAGCATTCCTTTGGCTGTCATTGTACCTGTTGAAGCCCATAGTGTTGCCTTTCAAATTTCTTCCTGGTTTCTAGTCCAGCTGAGATTTTACTTTCGTTACTCAGTTTCTGCATCTTCACTTAATGCGTCTGTTCCTCTTGGATAAGGTTGTCCCTGTGTCCTCTGTCTGTGTTTGTCCTTTTTTGGGGTTTATCTCAGACAGGAGATCCCTGTGTATCCATAATACACTTCTGCCAGGCTTCACTTTCTGCACATGGATGGAATGTTTTGGGGAGGTTGTCCTCAAAGATCAGCCAGCTCTCTTGGGCTCTTTGCCCTCTATGGCAGTGTCTGATGCAATCTGTCAACTGGATCCTTAACAAGCTGAAGTCAACCCCAAAGTCAAGGATAAATAAAATATAGAAAGTTGTTGGGGAAAAAAGAACAGTTTTCCCCATGAGTTATTTAGCCATCAAATAACAATATTTTGAAGTAGTAAACCTGTTCTAATAACTTTTGTATTAATCGTGCAGCAAACTGCTGCTATGCTAGTAATCTTTATTTCAGTTACTAAGCGGAACATTTTGTACTTAAATTAAATGATCACTGCTGATAATGCTAAAATGAAAACAGTGTTTTCTAAGCTTATGCCTTTAAAATGATCTGGCATACAAATCGCCCTAGGCTTCAGTTGCTGCTGTGTGGCTTGTGGAGGTGGAACAGTTTACATTTCAGCTGAGTTGATGATACAGCCATTTCATGTTAATGTTCAAAAACGAGATAGCAAGCATAGCTGATTTCCTCTGTATGTGTTTGCTTTAGCTGGTTACAGCTATGTGATGCTGCAGCTTCTTTCTTTTCACCTCCCACCCCTAGTGTTACTAGACTCTGTAATACTTACACTAGCTGAAGTCTGTAACAGTTCTCTGTGCCACACCTATCCTGGAAAATACAGGGATTCTGCTGCTTGTTTGACAAGTCATTCTCCTTAGGAAGTTCCTAACCAAAATTATAACAGTAGCAGGCTTTGTGGTCAAAATTTATATTTATGCATAATTAGTTGTGCTTTACTAATAAGCACCTTGATACTGACCTGATGTGATCCTATGTGGCATTTAGATACCTTTCATTTATTGTGATAAAATGAAGTTACACTGTTAAAGAGGGCTAAATGAACTTCCATCAATATGATGTGGAAAAAAGGGAAGAAGATTCCATACATTTCACCTCTTCAGCAGCTAACAAGATCCAGTATTTTTGCCAGTAAAGCCTTCATCCTGGGTATCTGTTTTGGATTGAGTGTTTTTAATCTTTGTTGTTGCTGTTGTTTTAACATCCTCCTTCAATTACTGGTGGCGTTTATGTAACTTTGTAATGAAATTTTGAAATCGGAAACTTTTTTTCAGTTTCACCTCTGCTTTCCATGGGATCAGAATGACTTACCTGACTTTCAGCAGCATGGGTCCTATCTGGGTGCAAGGTATGCTTAGGTGTAATGAGACGTACAGGCTGCACCCAGGGACCATGTGCCAATAGAGTCCTGCAGCAGGACTTTGTAGTGTCTTAGTATGCTCCTTACCTCCATGACAAGTTTGGAGGATGGCGGAGAAAACGGGCCAATAAAAAAATCTTTTGTATGAGGGAAGTTGCCTTTGACTAGTTCTGGTGACTTTAAATCTGTTTTGTGCCTGTATTTAACAAGCAGAGAATCCTGTACTTTAATAACTAATGGCTTGCGATTACTCTTCGAAGTCAATGGCAACACTGAATTATACCTATTTGTGTTAAGTAAGGCAGACACAATTTTGTTAAGGTTTGTGCCTTTTGTAGAGTCTGCCAAATAACAGTGGTTACAATAACAGTGCTTCACATCCTTAGACTGCTGTGAAAACATTAGTTAATACATTAATGAGATGATGACTCCCCTGGCTGCATTTTATACTTTGTCATGTCTGTTGTAATGAGAACTCGAGAGCATTCAGCTCCACAGTGATTGTGCTGAGAATTAGCTTGCAAAGGGGACCATGCAGTGATGAAAGTGTAAAACAGGGGAACTGAACATCCAAACAGTTTATTGAAATGCTACTTGATACTGTGTTCGTTTAAAAAGTAATCGATAATTATTTTTGTAAAGTTTAAGTGTTATTTAAAATACAAGTAAACAGTGGAGGAATAGATATCATCAAGCTTGACTGTAAGATACACTGTGTTCTCATCTGAAGATCAGTAGGGTTTTTATGTTACGGTAGTGCTGGATAAAAAGTCTTCAGAGAAGTTGTTTTTTTTCATGCACAGGCTAAGCCAGAAAACCTGGCTTGGCTGTCCTGTTTTCACTTACTGACTGCTGTCATACTATAGTGTATAAAAATAGAGGTTTCTGGTTTTTAGAACCAAGGAATGAGAAGAGCTGCGGCTCCATTTTCCTAGCATTGTGTTAAATTGATTTGTTCCTCTCTTCTGTCTTAATGTTATTCATGGAATACGCAGATAATGATTACGAGCTGATGAAGAAATAATACTTTCAGAAGATGTGTGTTGGTTATGCTTGTTCTTTGCCTGAGAGCCACAAGTTTCTTCAGTTCTTAGAAGATTAGTTGACAGGTTTCTGTTGAAAATGAAAATTAGGCAAGTGTAGGATATTCTTTATGTATAGAAAGGATGTTATTTGTGTCTAGTGCATGTCTAATATAATTCCTGATAAAGAATTGTAGTCTGATCATTATTTTAATCTTCTTAATTTTTTCTAGAACACAACCAAAAGCAGTTTTTGCAGAAGTGGAACCAGAAGATGATGAAACAGACAAGCCAGAGTGGAAAAAACGTAAAATTTGAAAGATTTCATGTAAAGAAGAATTTCAGAGCACTTGATGCAAAGTGCAGCATATATTTCTTTATTGTGTGTAGTGGATCAAAATATAAAAGGAAAAAATACTTCATAAAACTTGCTGTAGTGTAAAAAGAGATTGTTACGTTACACTGGATTGTAATCCCATATCTGAATTTTGTAATAAGGAATTAATTACATTGTGCAAAAAACTCCTCTTTATGTCAGTTATTTAGCTTTATAATTTAGGTGAAAAACATTTCTTTAAATAGAACACTAGTGAATTCAGTGCTGCCAAATGTTTTCTTAATTACTGCCAACTTTACAAATGCCATATCATTACAGTGTTCAATGACTTAAATAATAAAATAATACAGTTTTTCAGACTCTTTGTTACAAGTTTATCAAAGTTCACACTTTCATTTAGATTAGTTATCCGCGCAGTGGATAAAAAACTGGCTGGCTGGCCGCACACAAAGAGTTGTAGTCAATGGCTTCATGTCCAGCTGGAGACCAGTAACGAGTGGTGTCCCTCAGGGTTCAGTGTTGGGACCAGTCTTGTTCAGCATCTTTGGTGGCATGGACAGTGGGTTTGAGTGCGCCCTTAGCAAGTTTGCTAATGACACCAAGCTTTGTGGTTCGGTTGATATGCTGAAGGGAAAGAATGCCATCCAGAGGGACCTTGACCCACTTGTGAGGTGGGCTGATGCCAACCTTATGAAGTTTAACCATGCCAAGTGCAAGGTCCTACACCTGGGTTGGAGCAATCCCAGGCACAGCTACAGGCTGGGCAGAGAAGAGATTCAGAGCAGCCCTTCAGAGAAGGACTTGGGGGTGTTGGTTGATGAGAAAATGAACCTGAGCCGGCTTCAGTGTGCTCTCACAGCCCAGAAAGCCAACCGTATCCTGGGCTGCATCAAAAGGAGCGTGACCAGCACATCGAGGGAGGTGATCCTGCCCCTCTACTCTGCTCTCATGGGACCTCACCTGGAGTATTGTATGCCGGTCTGGTGTCCTCAACATAAAAAGGACATGGAACTGTTGGAACAAGTCCAGAGGAGGGTCACGAGAGCAATCAGGGGACTGGAGCACCTCCCATATGAAGAAAGGCTGAGAAAGTTGGGTCTGTTCATCCTGGAGAAGATGTGGCTCTGTGGAGACCTCATAGCAGCCTTCCAGTATCTGAAGGGGGCCTATAAGGATGCTGGGGAGGGACTCTTCATTAGGGACTATAGTGATAAAACAAGGGGTAATGGGTTAAAACTTAAACAGGGGAAGTTTAGATTGGATATAAGGAAGAAGTTCTTTACTGTAAGGGTTGTGAGGCAGTGGAATGGGTTGCTCAAGGAAGTTGTGAATGCTCTTTCCGTGGCGGTGTTCAAGGCCTGGTTGGACAGAGCCTTGGGTGACATGGTTTAGTGTGAGGTGTCCCTGCCCATGGCAGGGGGATTGGAACTAGATGATCTTAAGGTCCTTTCCAACCCTAACTATTCTATGATTCTATGAATTAATGTGGAGTAATCCAGTTTAGTTCATTTGTTTGTTCACAGAAGTTCCACTTTTATTTCACGCTCCTGTGTGACTTGAAGAAAATATGTCTTTTAGTGTGTAACCCTTTTTTAAGTCATGTTCTTTTTAAGTATGTGTGTAGTAGCTCGTAGTACTTCAGTAGTATTTTATACAGCTTTTATTTTTAAATGATGTAAAATTGGAATGTCAAATTATGTATTTTGGTTTAATAAAAGTAATATGGTTATGGCCTCATTGCTACAGAATTTTGTCCAGGCTCTTACCAGGTATTTGTATCTATTGACTTTGTTGTATGCCTTAATTATGTATATCCTGCTTCACATTCTCTGAAGATTGATACTGTCCTTTAAAAAGTAGTTTCTTAAATATTGAGAAAGTTTCTGCTGTGTAACACATAAATGCAGTTCTGAATGTCATAAAATAAAGGACAGATTTAAAGTAAATGTACTTTAGAGGAGAAAGGATGCAATGGTTTAGGCATTTATATTGTGATTATAATAATAAACAGTATTCTAAGTACTGTGATTATAATATACAATATAGCAAGCACTTCACATTTCCACTGAGAGTAGAGAGTAACAGGCATCATAAACAATCAGGCTTTCTTAATTATGAATAGAATCTGAAGACATACTCTAAGGCTATATTTAACCAAGGACTTAATCACCTTTCTACCCTCGTGTGCAGTCCTCATCGTCAGCAGGTCTTAGATAATTTTTTGTTAAGCATTGTTCTGTATCAGTATTTCACAGTATGATTTCCTTTTTGAAACTTAACTTTCTTTTTCAATTATCATTTTTATACTTTTGGGGAAGTAAGCCTGACTTCAGAAGACATAATAAGCATTGACATAACATTCTCAGGACAAAATATGTCCACTGCTTACACTCAGTGTAGGCTTTCGATAAGAGTGGAGCCTTGCTAAATAATCTACAACTTGTTTTGTCCCTTGTAAAAATATTTTCGTACATACTTACGTAGAGTAGTAAATCACTGCTTAATTTACAATTGCAACTGTAATATGTAGAATGAAGGACTTAGTACCTAGGTGGGTAGTAAATGGAAGAGAAAAAGAAGAACCAGATGAAGAGCAGCAGTTGTTAACAAGATCGCCTAAAAACCTCCTTATTCATTGTCCCTCAGCAAATGAACATTAAATGGCACTGTTTCATTTAAGTTTGTTTTTTTTAATCCAAAAAAATTAACTACAAAATAAAATACTTTCTAATAGATTTCTATAAAACCTTGAATAAGATTTTCGCTATGTCCTTGGTTTTAGGCTATATTAACAGTTTATCATGTCCATTGTTCATTGAGGCAGTATGTCTTAGGGAACTGAGTTGCAGCTGTTCTCTGAGCTTGAGGGAAGCTTTTCCTTTTATGTTATTTATGCTTATCAGCTAGATCTTGTTTCCAAATTCTTGGATGAATGAGTTCTGAAAGTGAACCCTGCAGGAGTTGTGTTAGAATTTCTGGAAGAGCTCATCATTGTTACTTAAGTGAATGTCTTGAATGACTGTTTTAGCAGCCTAGAATTTAAAACAGTTCCTGTGCAGATATACATATGAAAACCATTTAAAACTAACATAAATTGTACTTTAACTGTTGGCTTGGTTTGTTTGCCATAGTCCTTATGCAGGGTTTTCAGGCATGTTCACCAGCAAGGCAAATCTTAATGCATTTTTAAAAGCATATTTTAATCTTGTACAGCTCAAGGGTAAGAGTTAATCAGTTCAGGAAGGAGATACAAAAGTCTGCTTCACCGTACTTGGGACAGCAAACTCTGTCTCAGCCCTTCGAATTGGCCAAGGAAAAATCTTAACGTTAAAATATTAACATGATTAAATATTTGATATGAAAGATGTGACTCTATATGCAAACTGGATTATTAGAAACTATACCTGTATTTTATTTTTTTTAATGAACTTCGGTTTTTAAGCTTTGTGAAGCACCTAGGTTTTGGTGACTGCCAGGTTGTAATCTTGGTCCTCCATGCATCCATATTTAGTGTGACAGAGTCCAGACGGGCTTCTGTTTCCATAATTCTGAAACAAGAGGGCTTTTTTTGTTTGCTTGCTTGCTTACTTACTTCCTTGCACAGGGGTGACACAATCATCACAAGCATTTTGGCATGCAGAATTGCTTCCATGGTGGTTTCTCCAAACCTGTATTTTTCTCTCCATATTCTGTGCAGCTTCTAGGTGTTTATAGCAATTTATGGTCTTTTGTCATTTGTGCTAATGTGCTAATGACTAGTTAACATCAGCTGTTAAGTACTGCATATCTGTCTCTGTCTTTCTCCTATATTATTTTTTAAGTCTTCTGCAACAGGTGAGAAGATTACTAAGACTGTCTTTGAGTCCTGGCCCTTTTTCTCTGGCTGTTTGGAACTACTTTATGATTGCTTTAAGTTTCTCTCTGGTCTACTTCTGTAGTTTACTGGTGCTTGTACTTCCACCTCTGTTTTTTGGACTGATAGATAGCTAAAAACTGAATTTGTGCCCAAGGGCCTACAGTCATTGGCCTCTTGCTAGTAATCAGATGCTTAGTGTGATGTTCTTTGTCACACATGCCTTTTCTCTGTTGAGCCATAGAAATCTGTATAATGGGGGGAGAAACCATGTATCTTTATCCTATCGGTTCCATGTCTGCTAGACCCTGAGAGTGTTTTGCAATAAGTGGCATTGCTGAGCCAAGTGCCATCCTTTATCCATTAGTTTCTTTGACCTCTGATGCCTTTGGGGGTATTCAGCTTGAAACATCTGTACTTCTCATCCTCCCTTAATACTGAATTGTCTGAATTTTGATGTGGCCCGTTAGTCACAATAGCATTGCAAAATCCTTCTTCTATTTCCTTGTCATGTTAAATGCCTGTACATCATCCTGTCCTGCCTCTTGGCAATGGGAACTTACTGAAAGCCCTGTGTGCCCTCATTAAAAATCAGTAGGCCCTTTCTGACTTTTTACTACAGATAGACTAGGATTTCATGAGGTTCTGTCCCCTGTGGTTGATCCCACAGCTCTTGTCATCTGTTGAACTGTTTCATACATACATGTAAATGTAGAGTTGGATAGTTGGCTAGCAGAGATGTCCTTATGCTTGCCTTGTGTTGAAGCATAGACACATTTTATTACATCAGTTTTTAAATCCTCTAGGATTTTTGATTAATACCATTTAAACACAATTTTGTATACTTCATCCATCCTCTGGGACTCCAGCATCTAATTGCTTCATGCAGTCTGGATAGCTCTGGAACACAAGATAGAGAAATATCTGTAGCATATCATCCTGGGTGAAATTTGCCTTTGTTGTCAAAAACTTCCCATCCTACATACATGCAAAGGTATATTAGCACACTGGCAGTCTCCCACTTTGGCAGCAGTGTCATAACACTCAGATCAGCGTGTTGGAATCTCCATAGCCTATGTGTTGGTGGAGTGCTTTGGCAATAGTTCCTGTTTTTTAATGGCTGATGATCAGACAGTATGTTCATCTTGTACTCTGAGAGATGACTCAAAAGAAGGCTGATTCAGAAAGCATAGCCAGTAACTCTTCCTTTTGTTTTTTTCCTTTATTTTCTTTTCACCTTAGCTGTAATGCAGGGCTGTTGTATGTCATGGCTAGTACTTACTCTTTCAAAGAAGTATTCCTGTATTCTTGTGGGCTCCGGCCTTTTTCCATACTGAATCATGAGAAACTGCAACAGATGGAAACCTGCAGTAGATAAACTGGACTAGAAGTGTCCTTAAGAAGTAATGTAGTCCATCCTTGACTCGGG